TTATTCGGACTATTGTCCTCATCTTTGCCGCCATATTTATTACAAAGTTTCGGCCGTTGTACGCTCTGGCCTTCTTCAGGTGGTTGCAATATCGAACTGCACTCTTTATTTCGCACACTGGGGTAGACTGTTCTAGTCCCACGTGCCATTTTTAATAGATGTCAGTTGTCAGTTATCTCCTGTTAATTCTCCTCTCCAAGTTCTCCACTGCCTTAACCGGGTATTGAACTCACTAACTAACGCCTTTATCCACTGTGGATAAAGGCGTTAGTTAGATCCAGGTGACAGGACCCAAATAATGTGAGTTCAATACCCGGTTAAGACAGTGGAGAACTTGGAGAGATCAAGAGATATCTGATAGCTGACATCCATTAAACAGCGCACGTGGAACTAGAAAAGTCTACCCCAGTGAGCGAAATAAAGGGTTTAGTTCGACATTCCAACCACCTGAAGAAGCCCGGAGCGTACAACGGCCGAAACTTTGTAATAAATATGGCGGCAAAGATGAGGACAATAGTTTGAATAATGTCAATAGTGTACATAATACCTCATCTCAGGAATATAGACAGATCCTTGCAGTCAATTTAAATTAGTTTTTGAAATACAGCAAGATATTTTGATTATTGGAAATATTAAATTTAATCTATTAGTTTAAAATTAAATTAATATAAAAGCTTCAAGAAAGTTTTTTTTATTTAAAAAATTCATTTTAAACCTTAGGTATCGCGGTTTTTTGGAAAAAATATATTTATATTATAATTTTCTAACTTTGAAGTTTTGGTGTTTCTTCGTTTGTAATGGTTTCTTCGTTTTTAATGGTTTCTTTGTTTTAATGGTTTCTTTGTTTTTAATGCTTTCTTTGTTTTTAATGGTTTCAATGAAATCATTTTCGAACAAATGGTATTCTCTCTATCCTTATAACATTATCCCCAAAATTTTACACTTTTAAAAGCAATTATCTTGAAAGCAACTAAGTCTAGCTCAATGAAATTGAACAGTTTAGTTGTTGAACATCATAAGTTTATTATGGGGTCGATTTCATAAGGGTTCAATATGTGCAGCGCCTGTGACACGACACACGTCAAGTAGGTAGTTAAGCTCTTGCCAAATACGTTGTAGCATGTCTCCGGTAACATTATCCAGTGCGGAAGTTATTCTCTGCTTGAGTTCATCAATGCTAGCAGGAAGAGGTGGAGGGCATAGATCAGTCTCTTCACATATCTCCATAAAAAGAAAATCACACGAGGACAGGTCCGGTGACCGCGACGGCTTTTTCATCAGGAAACTTTCTTCATCTCCACCACGCTTCATCTCTCTGGCAGATTCTCATTGAGATAAGCACGTACTGCCTTCTTCCATTAAATATAAAATCTTGATCTTTTTCTAGACATTCTGTGAAAATTTGAGGTTATTTCAACAAGAATTGCCAAAATTATTGGCCTGAGAACATTCTGTAAACTGTAAGTTTGTATCCGTTAACAATAGCATTTAAAAAAAAACAAAAACATATTTCGATTCGCATTTAATTATTTTGTCTCAGATGCTACCTGAATTTTACCAAAAACAAAATAATTTCCCTGCCTGAGGATGACTGAATGTACAGTTGAGAGTACTTGCGTATTAAAGAAAGACCTTTTACAGTTTATGATTTTTAAAAACAAGGATCATAACATTCATCGAGTGATTTGTAGGTTAATGCACCTTTAAAATTTTGTTAGCGAAGGGATTTCGCCATTTTATATCAGTTTACTAATCTCCTTTTTGTATGAATGATTCATTGTAATATAAATTGAACTGCACCTCATATTTTATATATATATATAAGTACTTAAAATTAAAACTATTAAAAAGAAATAAACACCAAAAATATATATATAAGTAAAAAGAGCATTCATATGAAACATTTATATCGCTTTAATTTTCTACGTTTGGTTTTTTGGTGTTTATTTCTTTTTAATAGTTTTAATTTACTAAAATTTTAGTAAATATATTTGCATTGTCCAGGGAAAAACTACTTTCCCATGGACGAAATGATCATCTGCATGAAGTAATTCATTTGGATCTCATTAATTGAAATTCACTTATATGCTCTATAATAAAAATTATATTGAGCTATCTTTTGTGGATCAGTTTTAATATTTTATATTAATAGGATCTACTTGGATTACTTACCCACACATTTTTTACCTGCTATATATATATATATATTACACAACAAAATCCCAAATTACCTCGTATGGGGGGAATAGATCTATTTCAACTGACGCCAGTCTTATTCAGTGAAATGGATAAATTCTGTATCAATGAACACAGTTGACTAAGACTGACATACTAATATTAGTCATATATTAGAGAGATATTAGTTGATAACACAACAATACTCAACCATACACACAGTAAAATGAACCTTCAGGTATTGGAGGCCATCTACATTAAAACAAAGCAATCCACACTCAACAAAATTAAATTTCAAACTACTCACAACACATTACATTGCATCTTGACATATGGTTCTGTTGTTAAATATTTTGTCCACTCGCGTGGTATGACGTCATAGAACGGCATCTTAAACTTACGGCCTGCGTCTGCTATTCTGCTACCGTTATCATCGCATAGCAATTTTCTATGTCAACATAACAAAATATCATCTTTCATGGTGAATATCTTTGTTTAAATATCCGTATAAATACTCTGAAGATGGCTCGTGTGAGCCGAAAGCTTAGATAAAAGACCAAGTTAATAGAAATATCCAAATGTTGGACAATTTTTGTCTTTATTTTCACCCGAAATTAAAGCAAACATACGAACTTTAGAACGCCTCATGATCAGACATAACAGATATTCATTGTCTGTTATATTTAACAATATATATATATATATATATATATATATATATATATATATATATATATATATGTATGTATGTGTGTGTGTAAAAATATATAGAAAATAGGAAAGAACTCGTTAGCTAAATAATCCAAAGTTCTTTAGTATTTTTTTATTATTTTTATTTTTAAAAAACAGTGCTCGATACAAAAGTAGAGCATAAATATAATTATTTATTTAAAAATATGATTCCATCGCTACATAAGAGTTCTCATGTTTCAAAACAACAGCCGAAAACTTCAATATAATTATTGAATTAAATTGAATTACAGTACCAAGCTCTGTTCCAGCGAAATTTTTTTTGGAATAACTAATTCCTAATGAAAACTGACAACTTTAAGGGTCCATATAATTTATTTCCTCAGGGAAATTAAATTAATTCCCTGTGGAAATTAATTATAATAACCGATGGAACCTTAAAGTTGTCTGTTTTCATTGAATTAATCGCTCTGATTTAACATTGAGCTCTCTGGATTTCATCCTCTTTGGGATTATCCATACGATTACCAAGATTTTCATTAACTTAATATATATATATATATATATATATATATATATATATCATATCACGCATATATATATATATATATATATATATATATATATATATATATATATATATATGTGTAATGATATGCATAAAGGATACCCTCTAAAGTAACAGCTTCTGTATCTTGCATAATTTTAGCAGCAACCCCGCAGATGCACGAATCAACCATACATCAAAGATCTGCAGGAAGAAAATAAGAGAATATGCAGCATTAAACAGTAATCCAATGTAAAAAGTTCACTGAAAGAACTCATAACCAAGAACTGTATGTACAACATTTCATGCAGCTGTGACGGAGATTAAAACGGTGAGAATACCTCTTCAAAATAACTAAAAATAAAACGAGGTTCACCGGAAAAATGTAATTAATGAAGATACAGTGAAATCTGTCCCAGTGGAAGAAGTGGCAAATGCGGTCGATAAGATGAGGTGATTAAGGCATTTATAGGTGTACAAAATTGTGCAGTGAAGCATACCTTTTCTGATAACCATTATGATATACTAGTGACAACAGATTTTTGCTAAGATATTTAGTAATGTGACAGAGTACAGTGTAAGTAGTGTTCATGCCTTTATCCACCGCGCAATGATGGAGAACCGTGGAACCATCATTACTCACTGCCGACTTCGATGTGCCGGACACCTTGCCCGAATACCAGACGTCCGCCTACTCAAACAAATCCTCTTCTCAGAGCTCGCGTCTGGCAAGAGACCGCGTAGTTGATTGAAGGACCAGTCCAAAAACACCTTGCTGAGGACAGAAATCGATCCAATCAACTGGGAAACGAAAACTGCAGAAAGACCCAATTAGCGAAGAGCAGTCCACAAAAATCAAAACCCTTTGAAAACACCAGAAGATACATCGAAGAAATGAAGAGAACCCAAAGAAAAGTCAGAGCTCCCCATTCCTTGAACCCTCCTACCCTACCATTCTGTGGCTGCGGACGTCTTTTCAGATCCGACATAAGACTCATTTTACACAGAAGGAAATGTCTATGAGCACCCCAATACTCGGCAACGAATCCTGCTAACGACAACGAGTAGTAAGTGAACGCAAATAACCTCAGTCGAAACTTGAACTTTGTTTCCTAAATCTACTTTCTGTTCTAATAATCGGTTCACTGCCAAACACCGTCGTTTGTGGCGAAAAATGAAAACTGACACGTTTTGTCTCTTGACGTTACTCGTGAAACCCAGATACCTGCTCATTTACATTTTTAGTGAACAGTGATCAGGAAGCCAGCCAAGTTACTTTCAAACGTGACAGAATTACATTTTTTAGAACGCCCTGCTTTCAATCCTTCAGAGACACCTGCCATAATGGAATCTTCGTACACAGAGGGTCTCCACGCAGAGACGTACTCGGTTGACCTTATTTCTGTTAAAGAATGCGATTAATTGAATATGATCTTTGCAAGGATAAATCCGAACGAAAGAGAGACAGATAGACATGAAGAGACAAAGATAGATAGATAAAAAAATATTACCAGCAATAAAAATCTTGTCGGCATTAAATAACCTATTGAGGTTGATATGCCGTAAAACAAACCAAACCAATATACACTTAGATAGATAGATAGATAGATAGATAGATAGATAGATAGATATGAAGAGACCAAGATAGATAAAAAAAAAATTACTAGCAATAAAAATCTCGTCGGCAATAAATAACCCATTGAGGTTGATATGCCGTAAAACAAAACAATCCAAAACAATATATACTTAGATAGATAGATATGAAGAGACCAAGAAAGACAGATAGACATGAAGAGACCAAGATAGATAGATATTATAGATAGATAATAAAAATCCAGATACCTGCTCATTTACATTTTTAGTGAACAGTGATCAGAAAGCCAACCAAGTTATTTTCAAACGTGCCAGAATTATATTTTTAGAACACCCTGCTTTCAATCCTTCAGAGACACCTGCCAAATGGAATCTTCGTACACAGAGGGTCTCCACGCAGAGACGTACTCGGTTGACCTTATTTTTGTTAAAGAATGCGATTAATTGAATATGATCTTTGCAAGGATAAATCCGAACGAACCAGTTGAATTGACACTACTGATGCTAGCTTCCGCCCGTAAGAATGATGGTTAGGGTGGGGTTTTAGAAAGAAACGTGGGTGTTCAAGTTTCTACTGATTCTATACAAAGAAACTCTAATAGCGTACATAGAGAAGTAGGGATTTCATTTCCTTATTCTTTTTAAAATATTATTCACCCAATAAAAGTCCCAAGAGCTACTCAAGGTAGAGGGTTAGTAAATGGGGTGGTGGGAGTTCGTACAAGGTGGGCGCCAGTGATGCGTATTATGAGGATATGTAGGATAGATAAAGGTTGAGCCCTAGACTTGAAGACGTTAAGACCATAGTTTTCGGGGAAGCATCCTGTCGGGAGTCTAAACGATTCAAGCATTGTCCGTAAGATACTTTTGACATTGATCTACACAAGGATGTTTCTCTCTTGTCCATTTGTCTTCAGGATGTCCTTTTGAGTGTCAAATTTTCTAAGCTCTTTTCCTCATGTTTCCGAGAAATTTCAAGTGTCTCTTTCTAATTCCAAGTATAAGCATCCGTTTTCTTTCCATTTAACTTAAAACGTCTTCCTTACTCATATTCTTCCGTGCTGGGTTTGATGATAAACTACATCCGGCAGCAAGGCCTCTAATCAGAAGGTTTTGAGGAGCGTGAAACCACCTCTTAATTGCTGTTGTACCCAGGTCCTCCCTGAATCGGGGTGGTAGCACTTGTTAGGATCCCAGCGATGGGCAAATAGTGAACTCCCAAACTAGGGGTCAAAACACTATGAAAGTGTAGAAATATTGGGTTGGTGCACAATTATCAGGCGTTTTTTAAACAATATTCATTATTAAAAAAGAAACATAACAATTCAACAATAACATTTTTAAATGATTATTCCGGAGCGTATGATTATTGACACGCATTTTTATAACCTGAAAATAAAATTATATTTTTGTTAAAAAAAGTAAACAAAACAGCAGTTTTTATTAACAAATAACTCGCCTAGAAAAACGCTTGATAATTATGCTCCAACCCAATAGGTTTTAATACCATTTTATACATTTTTGCAGCAAAAAACAAATATTACCAGTAATAAAAATAACAGGCATTAAATAACCCATTGAGGTTGATATGCCGTAAACCAAACGAAACCAAACCCCATATTCTCTGTCCTCAGCATCCTTTTATAGAATTACGTCTCTGTTGCCTGTTCTTCATCTTTGAGGGTTTTACGGCCAAATAGATTGTGAAAAAAATTTGTTCTATAAAGTAACAGTTCCGAGAAAGAAGCTGTTTGAGTGGAACTTACATATCTGTCTATATCTCTGAGATGAGGTATTATGATTATTTACATTACATTCGGACTGTTATCCTCATCTTTATTGTTATATTCACAACGTTTCGGTCGTTGTATGCTCCGACAATTGGCTTCCATTTGCTTTCTCCCCAATTTGCATTTCAATGTTTTTTCCTCTCTTTTAAACAGGCTGCCATCCAAGGCTCAAGAACCCAGGTAGCCTATTCATTCTGCCATAACAAATGAGAATAGAATATAAAACACTATTTACATTATTCGGACTATTGTCCTCATCTTTGTCGCCATATTTATTACAACGTTTCGGTCATTGTACGCTCCGGCCTTCTTCAGGTGGTTGGAATGTCGAAGTGAACCGCTCACTGGAGTAGACTGTTCTAGTTCCACGTGCCATGTTTAATGGATGTCAGTTATCAGTTATCTTCTGTTAATTCCCTTCTCCAAGTTCTCCACCGCCTTAACCAGGTATGGAACTCTTTTGGGTCCTGTCACTTGATCTAACCAACACCTTTATCCAATGTTCCATGTGTCCTTTAGGACATCTGTGTATGAATTTCTGGGTATTATATATATATATATATATATATATATATATATATATATATATATATATATATATATATATATATATATAAAGAATGACAGTAAGATATATAATCCGGTGTTCTTATAGATATTTTTATTTTTACAAAATAGTGCTCAATGTAAATTTACAGAGCATTAATATTATAAATTAATTGATTTAAAATATGTTTTTTCCGCTACACAGTTCTAACCATGTTTCAAAAATAGAAGCTAAAAGCCCCGAATTTAATTTTGCAATTAAATTAAAAGCATTACTTCCATTTCATCCTCAAGCGAATTTTGGAGTAACTTTTAAAAAATTACTGGGTTTTAAATACACAGCTAAAATCACGTTTCCATGGTTACAGAATATTCTACTTCAATTGGACAAGGGATGTCTAGGTTTTCATTATGTTAGTATCATTGTATCAGTTATTAGCTACAATATATATATATATATATATATATATACAGCAGGTGGGATCATTGTATCAGTTATTAGCTACAATATATATACACAGCAGGTGGGATCTCTGCAAGTTGAATAAACACAAATGCGCCTGAGCAAGGGCCTGCAATAATAGATGGGTATCCTGGAATACGAGTGGCTATCTATACAATATGATTTCAAAATGCCACAAAAATAGTCAACGCAATATTCCTTGAACAAATTAGCCGCACGACTCGCACTTAATTTTTATGGCTGGTATTTTAACACGTCGCCATAACTTCTTTGATATCACTCAACCTCCGACACACTTTCCTCCTTGGCTAGTTCCTTTATATTCTCCATGTTTTTGATGCTCCTGAAGAAGCTGAAGCTCCTCTCCGTGTTTGTTGACGAGATCGTCAACGTTGCCCGCGACAACCTCGAGGCTCAAAGACTTTCTAAGAGACACTATCTCTTCAACTTCGGGTTCGTCTATGGTGAAATTCTCAAATTTCTTGTCGGTGGCACATTCAGGCCACAGCTTTCTCGATGCAGAATCAGAATCCTCTTCGTTACATCTTGCCATGCCACATCGATGATATTGAAGCAATTCACAATGTTGAACTGGTCCATCCAGAAATCACGAATGGCCGGCTTTGTATTCTCGGTAACATCAAAGCGCCGACAAAAAAGGTGCTTGGTTTACAATTTCTTAAAATTGGAAATCATCTACTGGTCCATGGGCTGCAAGAGAGGGGTCATGTTCGATGGTAGGTAAAGAACTTTAATAAATTTAAAATTTTCCAAGATTTCATCGTAGAGGTTTGGAGGGTGTCCAGGGGCGTTATCGAGCATGAGTAGGGCCTTCATAGGAAGGCCGTTCTTTGTGAGGAACCTGAGGAACTTGAGGGCCGAAACGTCATTGATCCATTCTAGAAAAATTGCCTTGTGACCCAGGCCTTACTGTTAACCCTCCACATGACCTACAGCTGCCTCTTCAGCATCTTATGCGCTTTGAACGCCTGGGGTCTCTCCGAATGAAACACAAGCAAGGGCTTGATTTTCAGATCATCACTCGCATCATCACAGAATATGAGGGTTAGACTATCTTTCATAGGCTTTTGGACTGGTATCTTCTTCTCCTCTGTGGTGATGTACGTCCTCCTGAGCATATTCTTCCAGAAGAGTCCAGTCTCATCGCAGTTTAACATTTGTTGAGAGACATCTCCCTGCTTTGCGATAAGTGAACTGAACTCTTTCATGAATTCATTGGCTGATTTCTCAGAACTGGCTACTTCACCGTGTCTCAAGACTCTCTCCACGCCAGTTCGCTTTTTAAAATTGTTACTGAACCAGTCCCAACCGGCCTTAAACTCTTCTACTAGAGTCTCTTGGGTCGATAGTCTCGACTTCTGCTTCTGGAGATCACTACAGTAGTCGGGCTTTCTCAGCAATGATCGTTTTCGTCCGAATATCATCTGCGAGCTGCTTCTCGTTAATTCAAAGGAGAAGCATCTTTTCCATCTCATTCATATTCGTCCTTTGCCTGAACAGCCTGGAGACATCCTTTACTGGTGTAACACCGTTTATTTCATCCTTCTGCTTCAGGATGGCGCAGATTGTTGACGTCGTATCGCCCTGCCAAGTCCACTACATGTACCCATTTCTCGTATTTTTCTATTATTTATTTCTTCGCTTCTAATGTAATTAGTTTTTTTTTCTTTTCATTACCCCTATCTTTAACACTTAATTTCTTCGAATCCATGGTTAAATAATTCCCCCAAACTGCACGTTTCACAGAAAATTCTCTGGCACAAAACTATCGTGGCGTTACCGCTACGAAATGAATATTTGAATTGTGCGAGGTGTTGGTCGGTAACTAAAAGGAAAGACAATCGATAACGTTGGTAGGTGACGTTATCTGTGAGAAGTACTCCGAATAATTTTCTTCAATGAAGTGAGTAAATGTTTTGGACATCAAGCGTTCACAGATGCGCTTCACCTTGCCTTTGACCGTGTTTTTTTCTTAGAAATAGATGACGTCAGCTGGCAATGCTTCTCTTTATAACTCATTCACCGTCTGCTTCCGTGTATATTACAGTAGTTCTTACTGCGAATTTTTATTCGTCCTACGATACAAAAATGCTCACGAATGGCAGCTCGTAAAGCAAGTTGTTTAATGGGGCATGCGTACTATGAGGTTCTAATATATATATATATATATATATATATATATATATATATATATATATATATATATATATATATATATATATATATATATATATATATATATATATATATATATAGGGTAACCCGAAGGCGGTGTAGTGATTAGCAAGCTTGTCTCGCTAGAACATTTAGAACTGAGTAGTGAGTTCGATCCTCATGCCACATCTAAGCTACGCTTGGAAAATAACTATATACAGTAGGGGAAACAAATATCCATACAATTTTAATTTAATTTTTTGTATTTCCAATTAATGAATAA